TAGCAGGACATCTGACTTTTTCTGAGGTTTGGCTTAAAATTGATTCATAGTCTATTTTTATTGTGTTTAAAGTATGATTTAGATTTTTCTATACTTCAGCAACAAAAGTTTTTGGTTGTGCAACAATATAGATGTATCGTCTACATAATAAAAGTCCTAGTATTTACTGGTATGGGTTGTGTAAATATTATACAGTGTAGGTACCATTACGCTACCCCAAAGGAGACCGTTCTTCTACGTTTTCCATCTGTTATTTTTACCATTGAGTGATCTTCTCTTGTGTAGGCATACCCGGACAATACAAGCCATTGTTGTATTTTTGATCCAAATTTTAGTATTAGTTTTGTGCTCAGATCTTTAGTCAGGAGCCGTAATATTGTTCATTATATACGTAGATAGCAGATCCAAGCTCAACACCGTTGAAAGATTCCCTTAGCTGACTGGTTTTGTCCCCTCTCATTTTAAGTTTTTCTTTTCTTGTTTGCCTATGTTTGGCCCTCAATGTGTTTCCTGCACTAGAAGTACGTCACATTTGTGTTAACCGCATATGTCTGATAAAGTTAAGTAAAGTAAAGTACCTATCTTTATCTCTGGATATTTCCTTCTCTAATATTTATAGACATAATTAGGAGAGTTGGCATTAAAAAGGCCGATTTGGTCTTTGGGATCTTTAAACCCTATAAAATATGGCTAATCTTTTACTTCTCATTAAAAATTTTAATTTTACATACTGTTACTTTTAGACAATATTTCGATCAGATTTGTATAGTAATAAATGTAGTTAATGTAGAGTCTCTTTGTGAAAAATAAATGAGTTTGTAATATCGGTTACAACTCATATATGGATAATAAGGAAATAAACGGTTAAAATAGGTGTATAAAATTTTAACTACATATATCGGCGCCATTGTTCAGGAGTTGGGTTTATCTCAGAGATCAAAGGTTACGTTACATGCATATTCCAGGTTCTATTTACGTATTTTCATTCCTAAAAAAGTATATTTATAATAAAGCCCTGATAGGCCAGGGAAATAAGCAAAAAAAGTACCCTGTTTTTGACACTCGTCCGGCCAGGCAACCGACAGTTGTTTTGAGTATTGTGGACCTGTGTAATAAAAACCTATATGTTTCCTGCAGTCGATTTTTTGGACTAAATTAGTTATTAACAAATTAAGTTCAAAAAACGGAAAATTTTTGCTTTTTTCGGCTATCAGCAAAAAGTGAAGCAATTTAAAACAAATTTTAGAAGAGAGGAAACTTATAAGTTATATAAAAACCTTCAAAATGGCGTTTTCAAAATGTTTCTATCCTTATTTGTTGCTTAGAAAGTTGCAAAATAAGTAAAAAATTTCGGTTTTTTATAAATGTTAATAACTTTTTTGAAAATAAACTTATAATATTTATATTTCATGAAATGATGTGTCTTGTAGTGCTTAAAATAGGGTAAAAATTTTAAAGTGATTGGTCCAATAGTTTTAAAGTTATTTTATTTGTTTATCCCAAATTAACATTTTTTGCAACAATATAAGTCAGAAATTTATACAGTTTTAGAAATTGTAAGGGTTGTTTCTGGTAGAAAAAGACTTGTTTTATTATTTACATTTAAAAAAAATTAAGAAAATTAATTTTAAATATTGCAAAATAATTTTGCAAAAACATGTCGATTTTTTGCTTATAAACAATTACAATAACTTTTTAACCATTGACTGTAAAAATATTATTTTTACATATTTAAAAAGCTTGAATTTTTTCACAAATTTAAATAAAAAAAAGTTTGTCCTAAAATAATTTGGTACAAAGTTAGCCCCTTTTTTTATTTAATTCAAAGCACCTTTGTTTATAACAATTAAGAAATCTAATTAGCGCTATTTAAAAGAATATACATTATAGTTTTAAACTACTAAATTTTAAAATTATTGCCCTTTAATGGAATCCTCCACAAAGCTTCAAAATGTAAAATCCGTCGGCTTTAAAACTCTCGGGAGTTGAAGGGAGGGGGAAGGCGCTGTTAACTGTTCTCTGTTCCTTTTTTATGTATTTCAACGTTTCTTTTTGAACTTGTATGTACTTTTTGCTTACATTAGGAATATACATTATTTCAATAAATAAATTGTCAAATAAACCACCTAATTTGTTTAAAAACAATTTTTTTTTATTTTTTAGTAGTATTTAAGTTAAGTTTGAATGTAAAACAGAAGTACTTGTCATTTACTATATTTTGGGGAATAAGCCACAATTTAAGTTTATAATAAGTTTATTTTTGATGTTTCGATTTCTACTTCGGAAATGTTTCTCAGAATGCAGAACATTAATAAATTAATCAAATTTTATTTTTGGTTACTTAATAGAAAATTTTTCTGATAACTCTTTTGGGTGATTGATTAGTATGAGGAAACTCAGTACATCTGTTATGGTAAAAATTACAAAAAAAATTATTGACAAAAATTGTAGACAGCTTTAAACTCCACATTTTAAAATTAGTTACAATCTTACAGGGTGTTCTATAAGATTGGGGCAGACCAAACATATGTTTTTTTTAATGAAACACCCTGTATTTTATTTTAAATTTGAAATCTGCTTCACTTCCACATCACAATAATGTAAAGTTTTATTATGTT